GTATACATGGATGAACGCTTCTCCCTCTCTGTCACGGATGCCATGATTGCCCTTAGTTTGAAGATGCAATCCGGAGACAGATGTTTTATACAACAGCCTTCTGTGTAAGTTGACTGAGAACACATTCTCATTTACAGCAACAAACTGGGGAATAGTTACAGGGGAGAGGAGGGGGATGAATGAGTCAATTGGAAGCTGGTGATGATTAGGTGGCAATGACAGTATGAAGTGCCATGAGATCTTCAGTGACAACAGAGAGTCAGGACACCCGTTTAACGTCTCATCCGAAAGACTGCACCCTAATTGTCTACATCACTTCCAATCCCCCATATGTTTGTTTTTTATCTCGCAAATATATATATATATATATATATATATATATATATATATATATATACATACATACATATACACATACATATACACATACCTAATTTACATGTAAATACCTCTACATACATATATATATATATATATATATATATATATATACATATCCTTTAAAAAAATATATTTCCCTTTATTACTTTCCAACCCCACCACCCCTTCCCTAATTGGAGTAAACTAGTGAACAACAATGCTTAGGCCTCTACTTCCAGCTTATACATACAATATAAATGTTATGGACACAGTCAATTTTACAATAATTCTATTTAGTTTGGTTATACTCCTGAACTTCCTCTACCCTCAACCTCTCCGATCATTTTCATGATATCCATCCGGTTTGCTTCTATATGCCATATCTTTCTAACTGTGTTCTTTCACAAAAGCTCTCAACCTATAACCTATATACTTATTATAGACACAGTATGCTTTACATTAGTTATCTTGTTGTTATTAGTTGTTGTTAGTTGTTATTAGTCCCATCCTTCAGCTCCATTCAACACCTCCCATCTATCTCTTAACACCATCCATATTGGATTTCTATTTGCCATATATTTTTCAACTGTACTGTGATGTTTCACAAAAGTTCTGAACCCTTCTATTCTCATTGTTTCTACAGATTGTAAATTGAAAATAAACATGTCTGCTAAAAGTATTATTATATTATTGATCGATTGACTATGACGTTTCACCTGATAATTTGTTGGTTCTCTTTGAGAATGTCTTTGAGTCTACTGTATCATTAGTCCTGCGTCGAACAGTGACCTGTGAAGTTATATGAAATTCCTGAATAATCCCTAAAGGTGTACCTTGATTCAAATGTGTGAAAAGGTCCTCTATAGGTGTCAGCTAATGCCCCTTTTTTTTGCAATTTGTACTTCATTGTCTAACTGACATTAGAAAGGTGATAAGTGCATCAACCACAGTGAGCCAGTGATGACCTGATATTATTAGTTATTGGCTCTGATATCCAGACAGATCTGCAGGCTTTGATCATGAGCTAAAAGGGTCAGGGCTATGGTTAAGGTTAGGGTTAGGGCTATGGTTAACGTTTGGGGTAGGGTTAGGGAGAATAGGATTGGGGTCTGAGGTAGAGGCGGGACCAGTGAGCAACACATCACTTCCTGTGGTATGAGTGACAGGAAGGAGCAGCTCAGTGATGAGTGATACCTGCTGAGGTGAACATCACTGGGCCTCTCATAGACTAACACTGGGGGATGACATGGCCCTTATGTCCTCTCTCTCTCTCTCACCAGATTTCCAGTCCACCTGCCAACACATCAGTGTGGTTGGTGAAGCATTTGAGTGTAAATGTGTGGGGGATTTTAGGGGGGATTGGCGATAAGGGGATGTGAGACAGAGACACTGACCAACCGTCATTTTCCATTGCGGTAGACATAACATGCGTCATTCTCTCTCTCTCTCTCTCTCTCTGCTGAAGACAAAAAAACCTGCACCACAGGAAGACTGGCCTTCAGCTCTCAGCTCTCACCACACCTCTCAGTGCATCAAAACCACACACGCTCTTTTCACACATCTCTTCATCTGTTCATCTGGATGAGAAACACTAGACCAGACCCCTGCTGCTCAATTAGATGTTCAAAGTATTTTTTTAAAATACCAACAAGGTAAAAGTATTTCCCATACTATAAAGCATTCAAAAAGCGTACAAAGTACAGACACCTTTAACTTGACAAAAAAAGTATCATCTATTTATACATTTGCCAACTCTTTTCCTTCATGAAAAAACAACTGCAGTCAGTATCAATGTTCACAGTGATAGTTATTAATGCTTATACACAGTGCTTAAGTTGTAAATCGGGAGGTATCGGAATAAAAAAGTGAATGCGAGACGGGGGTGACCTGGGGGGCTCTGAGGTACCGGAACGGATAAAAAAAAAGCACCTTTATAATAAAGCACTGCATGCATATCATCACATTTGCGCAGTGGCATAGACAAGTAGATTCGCTTACAGAAGTTGCACACATGGGAAGAATTTGGCCTTTTATAAACACATTTCATGCAATTCTACAACATTTTATATGACTGGAGACTTTAGCAGAATCTTTTTTAATACTGCACAAATGATTGAAATGACATGATACTTTGACACTAAAAACGGATTTGCCACGCGATCCCGGGCTTTATGCCTTGTGATTGGGCTACATAAACACAATACACAGCTAGGCAATTTTCTGTGGCTAAATTATAGGCCTACCCCTGGAGTAGTATTCTGAATTATTTGATTTCTTTCTGAACAGACAGCAGTAATTATATAACATTGGCAAATTTATTTCAGTGAATCAGAGGTGCTGCAGCTCCTCCAGCACCCTTACCGCGGCTATGATTCTATAAGGAAATAAATGATGATGTGCAATGCTGGAGAGATGAGAGTTGCAGGCTCATGTCTATCAGAGCAGAGAGAGGGAGAGAGACCATAGAAAGTGAATCTCATTCTAGTTCTGAGAGAGAGAGATACAGGCGCGCTTCTCTCTCTCACCACAGCAACGGCCATGCATTGGTCTCAAACATGCGCTATAATGGCTGAAAATCGACGTTTTCACATTAAGTTTTTTAGGGCAGGAGAATTAATGAGGCGGCAACTCGAATGAACTTTGATCGCTTTTATTAGAATTTTTACATTGCAAACAGCTATTTCTTTTCTCAGCGAAACAGTCCACAACTGAGAGGTGTATAATTTGAGCCGGATTCTTGCGGAACAGGATCAGGCTCTGCACTGCTCATGCACTGCTTATACAGATGCATTCACATGCAGTGGCGTCAGTTCAGCTTAACCTAGGATATGGCAAAGTGAGGGTGGGGGGATATTTTTTTCAGGGGGGGGGGGGGGGGGGTGGAAGTTGACGCTGATTTACTGCATTTCTACACAATTTATAAACTCTAAAATGCTATTTGGAGAACAGCAAAAACAAAAACAGCCATTAATTATCACTGCAAATGATCAATTGATCAATGATGAATTGATGTTTACTGATCATGAAAAGCATACAGTTACTTGCTGTATAACTCTGATGATAGAGCTAAATGTGCACAATTGTTTTGCATGGAATAATCAGGAAATGTGTAGGTCTGACTATGCACTTCAAGAGGTGATGATATTAGCGGAGCTGTGGGCCTCCTTGCCCCCCAGCAGGCAAATTGAGCGCTCTACACCTTATTGTGATGTTTTATTTAAAGTGACCTATAAAATGTCAAACACTATAGTATATACTCAATCTCATCATAAATGGACTTATTTACTAGTGGAACGGCACATACAGTGCAATGTGAAATAGATGCATAATACACGCTGTCAAGTCACAACAAGGCCGACATCAAATGCAGACATCTATAGTTTGGGGAAGATATTTCTTCACCATAAAATTGCACCTTTATAATGAAGGATTTCATACATCTAGCATCGCATTTGCAGACTAATGTAAGATAGGCTACTATTCCTAATGTGATGAGTAGATTGCATAGTCAGAATTTAGGCTAATAATATAACTCAATCACTCTTAGCAAAACAGACAGTTCTGAACACGTAGGTCTAATCAGAGATGTTTCTTCTCCATTCTTTGCACTGGAAAAATGTGGCCTTTTATAAACAAATTAGTATCCTACTCTGGTGACACTGACAACAGATCATTAAAAGTGACCTTGTCTTGAATGCAACCATCTAATCTGGCCTACGGAAAGGGGAGACACAAATTGTACAATATGATGTCCATCTAGCCTGAAGGAGGAAATTATTGTCCCCCAAAAACGTTCCAGTGGTACTGATCCAATGATAAAGACAGTGAATATGCTCGCGCTCACCGGGGCTTTGGCCTCCGCTGGTGCCAACAACATAAGGTACTGTTCGCTCAATTGGTAGAGACAGATTTGGCTTTTTATTGTGTTCTCTTTTCAGCAATAGCCATTTGCTTTCTGAACTATGTTTTCCTTACGATTGTATTTAGAAAAATGCGATAGGCCTAGGCATATTTAACAGTTTTTCACTAACCGCCACAACTCAACAATAAGCAATTTGGTAGGCTATTTGTCTTGCCGCGTGCACTGCTCAAATTGCACGTTTAAAACAATCCACAGCCCATTTTTTAAATAAGATGATACTCTGTGGCCAAATCATGCTCTCTGGTGTTGTATTTTGAATGATTTTATTTATTTCTGTACAGGCACGAGTAATTATATAGCTAATTGTGCCGACATCAATATGGATGTAACCAGTGCATAAAACAGCTGGCGGCAAGGCTTACATGGCCGAGTTCAAATGCGACATCAAATTCAAAGCAATCGGCGCACTGCCTAAACGGCTGACCAGCAAAGCAAACTGCCTGGCACTGCTTTCTTAAAGTGAGAGAAAAGGCGCACAGGCTGGCAGCTTCTCCCCTAACGATGCTCTGCATGGTCCTAAACCCAGCCAATCAATATGCTAAACATCCGTTGTATTTTAATTAGGATTAGAATGATTTTAGTCTACTTTTTTGTAGCCTACTTTTACATGTTTGACTGCCATACCCTGCCATACCCAACTGACACCCCTGTACATAGGGATTTGGTGAAAGCAAGTAACATACTACATATACTCTACTGACATTGGCCTTAGCTTTATTTATTTCCTGGTGGTGTAGATGATGATGAAGCTGGTCAGACAGCAGAGGAGAACTCCAGTTCTTATGATGGAGAGAAGGACCAGGATTCTCATCTGTGGATCAGCAACTGAAATAACAAGTATTCTATGGCTAGGTTGCTATAAGACGCTGTTGTACTTTATTTATATTCTGTGGTACTTTCATGGTACATCATATAAATTCATTTACGAAAGATTCTCACTTAAAATAACAGAATAAACATACCTTCTTCACAATGCTCTTTAAGGTCCTTTTCAGAATCTTTATGACCTTTTGGAAGATTAGGAGAGATAAATATTCCCACTGTTATTCCCACTGTAGTACGATAGTATTATATCTCCAACATTTTCTCAATAATATCTCTGATACATCATATACATGTTAGTGCATTTGGAGTCATAGCAGACAAGTTGTTGAAAAGATTACCTTGGACCTTCAGGACAGTCACATTGGTGAAGATGATGTATTTATCGAACGTTCCACAGAAGTAAAGACCAGAATCAGCTACATCCAACTCTGTGATTTTGAGGAAGATTGTTCTATGGCTGACAAACATTTCCATATGGCTGGACTGAAAACCATTGTGATGCTGGACAGTTGACTCAGAGCTGTACATAGACGCGATGCCTAGGGGCTCTGAGTAGTTGACTTGCTTGAACCAGCCAACGTGTCCTGGAGATCCAGTGACATTGATGCACTGCAAAGTGACATTATCTCCAGGATGGACCACCACTGAGGGAGGAGGAGAGACCGACACAACAGGGGTCAGATCTGAAAGAGAGAAGACAAAGGTTTAGAAACAATTCCAAACATAGAACTTTCTGTTCACTCATGCATTACTATACCTAAACCTAGTCTCAACTATGAATCATAAACTCGTAATGACTTAGATAACTTACACAAGCCATAGATGACAAGAGCTGGTAAACATATGCGTGCCATTCTGTGTTTAGATCTACACTGCCAGTCCATGAAGGAAGGACTACATCTTTATTAGAAAGTGATTTATGATTAGGGGCGGGACATGGTGTGAGAGCCATAGAGGCATACAATGACCACAGACAGTTTTTTTTCCTACAACCAATCCCTGATTTTCCACTCTTTCATTTGGTTTGAAAGAGAATGATAAGATATTAGTTATAGACTGTAGTTTATCATCATAGAGGTTCCCAGAACTGACCATTTTAAGTTTGTGAAACATACTGTATATTTTCCATTTTAAAGTAATAACGTTTAAATAAAGGATCTGGATTACAGTAAATATACAAAAAAATCTGTTTTCACAGTGATGACACCCATTACAGTTGGGTTCAATCATTCTATTGGGCATTCTATCCACCCCCCTTGTGTGGATAACAATTGGCTGGAGTTGGTGGTTGTTAACCAATAGGGGGCGCTCCTCTGACTGCACCAGGTAGATCACTGAACGGAAGAACACATGCGTTTGGCAGGAGCATTGGCTTTTAGTCACACTATAGTATACCTTAAAGGTATTGTGAGCTTCGCTGCATTACATTTGATCATAGAAGATAAACACAATAGTGTGAGGATAAAATGATATTTTCCAATTTTTCGGCATTTTATGCAACCTTTTACTTAGAGATCAGGTCTCTGATCGTTAAAATATAATAATGTATCTACTAATAAATAAATAAATAAATAATAATCTATGTATCTAATAATAAAAATAAAAATAATAGTCTAATAATTTATAATGGGGAAGAATATGTGTTCAAGTTTACCTGATCGACTGGTGCGGTTGGTAATCTATCACTTCAGATTAAAAACAGAAAGGAAAAAAATGACATTAAGTACAGTATACGAGCAATCTTATTGAAGCAGTATATTTTCCTCTTACATGGACACATCGTCGAACATTACTGTGAAACATAACAGTACGTCGATTAGTAGCTATTAATATGCACGTTAGATGCAAATGACGAGTCTTTCTATACCTCTAGGTCCTCTGTTCGTTTCCTTGCATATCCCACATGACAGTAGAATGATCCCAATCACAACCAGTGCAAGAGCGGTAAGAGTCATGGGAAAATCATACTCTGAAACCAAAGGATTTGATGATTTCAATCTGTTCATTTTCAATAAATGTTTTATTGGAATAATATCAGGTAATAGTACACTTTATCTTACAATACAGGTTACCAATTATGCATGCTATAAAACTCTGGAAATGGTAAATTGGTAAAATAAGTGAAAGAAATTACATTGAATGTCCAGCTTGGTCCTGTTCCCAAACAGTGTCTCCCCACATGTGGCCACAGCACAGTAGTAAGTCCCAGCATCAGAGAGGCTGAGGTTCCTCTTGGGGAGGTTGTAGACACAGCTCTGTGTAGGAGACCCAGTCTCAGGGCTTTTTTCACACTGATCACTCCTGTATCCATGGGTGTACATTATTCCTGAACGGGATTCTCCTGAGCCATGTCTGAACCAATAGACACTGTTCTCCTGCACAGGTCTCAGTGTGTATTGTACAGTTCAGAGTCAGAGTCTCTTGGCTGGACTGACTTAGACACAAGCTGCCGAATGAGATGCTTGGTACTGGAATCTGCACATTTTGCAATAAAGCCAAGGCTCTATATGATTCCATATGAATGGCATAATTTCTACATAAAAAAGCCAGACAGTTACGTATTATTAAACTTCTGTGTTACTTACCATCATACTCAAAAACACACCTTTCCCGAAGGTCACAGTTTCCAAAGTAACTGTATCCTAATATCTGACTGCCTTGCATCTGAAATGGTCAGCACAAAACGTAGAGTTATGAATATAACCACTGTTCTAGTTCTATATCGTGGAGCTCCGCCCCATAGGGGAGCTCTGCTCCTAGTGGTTTACCCTCTGCCCTAAGGCAGCAACAGCCTGAAGCAAAAATTATGCACACACCTGCAGCCAATGGGAGCACAGGTGTCCCTATAAGAGGGGACACTTCCCCTCAATCAGCCTCCCATTATCTTCAGCGACTGGACGACTAGACTGAAGAAGCCAAGAAGAGAAGAGAAGACTCAGGAAGAAATCGCCGTCGATGAGCCAGCCATTGACGTCTTCTAAAATGAGCACGCCAGGTGATTTTCCACCCCCAAAAGCCCTTTTCAGGGCTCAGTGCCGATGCTCCTCCATGACATCTGCGGACCCCCACGACCTTTGTTTCGTGTGTTTGGGGCCGCAGCATGCCAAGGAAGGGACCGGCAATCCCCCTAATTGCGCCTCCTGCGCCCTCCTTCCTATGAAGGTGAGGAAGCAGCGTTGGGCGTTTTTTAGGGAGGATATCCCCCTAGAGGATGTACTGTCTCTTCTCGCCTCTGCTTCAGAGGCGTCGTCGGACAGTGCTGGCTCAGGGGATGACAAGGAGAGAGACGCAGAGATGGATGTTCCAATGGAACAATCCGACCCTCTGGCGCCAACCTTCAAGACCCCCTTCCCTATGGGGAGTGCGAGATCTGAAGGCTCCTTGTGCGATGACGACACGGGCTCTGTTACGTCAGCAGCCCTGTCCTTCGCAGCGGCCTCTCTGCGTGCGGACTTTCCCGAACTCATTGAGAGAGCCGCCAATCGACTCGAGATAGCGCTGCCCCCTGCTCCCCCCCCTGTGGAGGTCGACATGATGGAGGGCGGCCCCTACTCTAGACAGAGGAAGGCAGCTGAGCCGATGGCTCCTGCTATGCCTTCCCTTGGGAAATATGTCGAGGGCTCGTGGGATACACCCCTGGCGGCGCGTTCGCCGGCCAAAGTGTACACCCCATTCACGAGAGTGGCTGGACGTGAGTGGGCTGCTAAGGGAATCCCTAGGCTCGAGAGCGCCATGGCGGCGTATCTAGTGCCGGGTTCGAGTCCCTGGGCGGCCTCCAAGAAAGCCACCTTGCCAGCACAAAAAGACAGACTCACAGCACAGCTGGCTGAGAAGTCCTTTACGCTGGGAGCCCAGGCTGTGTCAGCGGCTAACAACATTGCCCTCCTCGCGGCCTCCCTATCCCGTCTAACAACGGGTAGGTCTGAGTTGACCAGCGAGGAGATTTAAGAGGCGTCCAGGATTTCTGGCGCTATTCTTCATTTGACACAGGCGTCAGCGATATGCGCAGGCCGGTCCATGGCCACCTCGGTGGTCATGGAACGTCACCTCTGGCTGTCAATGACAGCCATGAAGGAGACGGACAGAGCCTCGCTACTAAACGCTCCCGTCTCTAGCGAGGGCCTCTTTGGGGTCGCCGTTAAGGAGGCGACGGAACGTTTTGGTAAGCTGGACGAAGAGAGAAAGCACCTGGCTAAACACCTGCCATTGGCAGGCAAGTTTAGCAGGGCCTCAACTAACCCGTCAACCTCTAACGCCCCCAGTAGAACTACAGGGAGGCGACGGGCCAGGCGACAGGCGCCTACCACCGACAGCAGGCGAGCGGGCTCGGCCCCTCCAGCGACGACGGTGGTGGCGACGATTCCGCCGGCAAGAGAGGTCGTCACAAAACCGTCCTGGCAACACCAGAAGGTCAGCCAGAAACGACGGCGTCAATGACGGGACGAGGGGGAGAGGACGGATGACGGCTCGGCGCAAGACGCGACAGAGCCCACTGTTCCCCCCCACCCTACTGTTCAGGGCATGGAGGGAAATGTTTATTGTTGTTATGTGAATAAAGAGCTGGCTCTCACTGACATTGTCACAAAAGGGCCTGTCTTCCATGACACATTGCAGAGTACTTGAATCCTACGTCCTATGAATTTCTCTCACCATCCTGAGTGTAGCTCAACCCACCAAGGGTGCGTAGTTGAACACACTCAGGAGAGGAAAGAGAAAAAGGTAGCAAGGCGTAGCCTTAGCTCACCTAATAAAGAACTTTTACTACAGACTCCTAGGAGCTCTGTAGTAAAGGTCTCACATAGCAGGCAGCTGTCTCAGTCTAAATATGACATGAAGACGCAGCCGCTAGCTGGGAATGACGCCTTGCCTCAGGCTAACGCCTCAGCCAGCGCAGTTCAGACCCGTGCGACGTTCACGGAGGGCCGGAATACTAGAGTTACAGGTGTAATCAATGTATGGGCGCCCCCGGTTAATTCAGAACGTAACAATGCCCACTACTCTGAGTGCAGCTCACCACACCTAGAGTGTGCTGTTGAGCAGCCTCATGAGACCAGTGAAAAAGAGGTATTGTGGCGCCACCTTGTGGTACCAGTTAGAGACCACACTTTCCAGACTCTGTTGAGTACTGCAGTGGACGGATCTCATGACAAGCAGCAGTCTCAGTCAGACAATGACATGATGACGCAATTGCTATCCGGGGAGGGCGCTCTGTCTCAGGTTAATACCTCAGTCAGTGCAGCTCAAAACCGTGCTGCGTTCACGGAGGGCCGGAATACTAGAGTTACAGACGTAACTGACGTATCAAGGCCTCCGATTCTCTCAGAACGAGCTGATGTTTCCTCTCCCTTTCGAGGGGGGCCCGCCTTGGGCTATTCCACCAACCCAGTGCTGGGGAATAGCGGCGGCGAGGGCCATAGAGGAATACAGGTCCTTCCTACTGGATGCACCACAGCTTCGTGCGCGCCCGCTTTCTCTGCATTGCTGGCAGTGGCAACGAAGCTGTACCCTGGCTAGAACAGACGTTGCAGAAGGGTTATGCCCTCCAATTCCATCGAACCCCACCCCCGTTCAGGGGAGTGGTGGAGACGGTGATGAAAACGCCGGACAAAGTGGCCGCTCTGATGTCAGAGATTACGGAACTTTTGGCGAAGGAGGCGGTCACAGTAGTTCCCCGGGAGCAAAGGAACAAAGGGCTATATTCGCCTTATTTCCTAGTGCCCAAAAAGACGGGGGAGTGAGGCCGATTTTGGATTTACGCACTCTCAACGAGAGCATAACCAAACGACCCTTCCGAATGCTGACGACAAAACGTCTACTGGAATGTGTCCAGAAAGGAGACTTTTGTACAAGCATAGACCTAAAGGACGCGTACTTCCATGTGCCGATACAATCGCGTCACAGGAAGTTTCTGCGGTTCGCCTTTCAAGGGGTGGCGTACGAGTTCACGAGGATGCCATTCGGGTATGCCCTGGCACCTCGAACGTTTTCCAAATGTGTGGAGGCGGCATTGGAGCCGCTGCGTCGTCAAGGGATAAGGCTATTAGCCTACCTAGACGACCTGCTGGTTCTCGCCCCGTCAGCAGAGCTGGCGTTCACTCACACAACACAGACAGTGATTCATCTCACGCGTCTGGGGTTCGCTGTGAATTGGAAAAAGAGCGCACCCTGGCCCAGTCATCAGATTGTCTACCTGGGGCTACAGTTAGACACTGTAATGATGAGGGCTCGAATTTCGGACCCTCGAAGGGTAGCATTGTTGCTAGCCCTGAGGAAGTGTCGTCCGAATCACACAGTGACGGCGCTGTCGATCATGTCACTTTTGGGTCTCATGTCGTCAGCCCACTCTGTGGTCCCGCTGGGACTTCTGCACATGCGCAGAATACAGCGATGGTTCGCCCAACTAAGACTAGACCCAGTGCGTCAACGTCATCGGTTGGTGGTGGTTCCTCTCTCGCTAAGAGCAGACCTGGACTATTGGAGGAATCCGAGCGTTCTCACGCACGGAGTCCCGATGGGCAAGGTGTCATCCTACATTCCAGTATTTACAGATGCTTCTCTGACTGGATGGGGAGGGACATGTCAGACTCAAGCGATAGGAGGTGTATGGCCTCAATCAGGTCGTCACATAAACCTCTTGGAGTTGGAAACGGTTCGACTGGTTCTGACCCACTTCGCGCCTACCCTTCGGGGTCGCGATGTGCTGGTCTGGTCAGACAACCGGACCACAGTAGCCCACAAAAATCATCTGGGAGGGGTCAGGTCACCTGCCCTCCACCGGGCGGCAGAGGAATTGTGGCTGTGGGCTCACAAGCACCTTCGCTCGTTGAGAGCAGCACACATTCCGGGCTACTTGAACGTAGGAGCAGACCTCATGTCAAGAGGGGGTCCTCGAGACGACGAGTGGTGTCTGCATCCGGACATTGTTCTCCGAATTTGGGAACAGTTCGGGAGAGCCGAGGTGGATCTGTTCGCGTCACGCGTGAACGCGCAATGTCCCCTATGGTTCTCTCTGAGGGAACAGGACGAGCCACCACTGGGAAGAGACACATTCGCGCACTACCCGTGGCCGAAAGTTCTCCTGTATGCATTCCCACCGCTGTCTTGCATTCTCCCACTGCTAGCCAGGGTGAGGTCAGAGGGGCTGTCAGTGATACTGATAGCGCCCGATCGCCCGGGGGCTCCGTGGTTTGCGGAGATGAGTCAGATGTTGATTGCGCCACCTTGGCCAATTCCACATCGACGGGACGCGTTGACCCAGGCGGGAGGCTCGATAGGGCAGTGGCCCATAATCGGCCAACCACTGAAGGCTTGGCTCCTGAAT